CTGTTCTGCATGTCGCCGTAGTCTGGAGGCGCCGGGTTAGGTCTCTATGAACAACTGGTGGTCATTGATAGTTGAGCTTACCTGACGCATACGAGCCGACAAAGCACGCAACAGGCGCGCCGTCGACCTTCTCTAGGGGAATACCGGCGTTCTCGAGGCCCTCGAAGACAACCTCGAGCATCTGGCGCTGGTTGGGATCCATGGCAATGGCCTCGGTACCACCGATCTCGAAGAAAGAGGCATCAAAGTCGGCGAGATCAACGTCGCCAATGAACATGCCACCCTTGGGCCGCATGGTTCCCGGCTTGTGAGAGCCATCATAATGACCCTTGATGTTGAAGCGAGTCTCTGGGACCTCATTGGAGGCGACACCACCTCTCTCTAGGAAGTCCCACAGCTTTGAGGGGGAGTGGTTGCCACCAGGAAGTCGGCAGGCAAAACCCACGACAGCCATGGGCTCCTGTTTAAACTGGGCGCTGTCCATTGTGTCTGCAAAAGGATCGATTAAGGGAAACAGATGGACGGTATGTACAAACAAGCTGTGGTCGTGCTTGTGATGTTGTGGTCTCAAGAGTCTAGAAAGATGGCCACTTTATGAAGATGACAGAGAAGGAAAGGGCAAGTCTTGGGCCAGGAGAGAAAGAATGAGTGAGGCCGCAGTTTTATCTGAGGATAATGAGGTGCAAAGGTAGTTCGGCCCAGTCGTTATTTAGATATTGTAGAGGCGGCCTGATATGCTGCTGGAGGAAGATAAGAGCTATCCATATGTTTGGCTTACGAGTGCTATATGACGGCGACTTGGTGGATAGGCACATACTCTGCGGGTTCCATAATACGAAGGATGGCCGATTAGCGACACTAGCGGAGTTTGGTGCTGACTCCATTAGTCTTACCGTAACGCTGGCCCCCACAGATCATGTTTGGCAGGATCCTGTAAGCATTCTGATTACCCGGCGCACGCTTATATATTACGCTTATGTGAACGACTTCCTTGTCATCCATGAGGCTATCTCAGAGCCGCAAATTACCTAAGTATGGACTCCGTCCATAGCAACATTGTCGCGACATCTCAACCGTTTGTCTGCCACCCTGAAGCCTGTCGCCGTCATGCCGCATTTCTCAACACATCGTCAAGTCGAGTGCAAGACAATTGATGGCACATCAATTGCAGGTTGGCTGTATACAGTCGATGATGGACCCGCACCGGCTATCATCATGTCACACGGCGTATGTGGGCAATTGTTGCACTCCGCTTTAGCAGAGTAAACTCACCATTTCCAACAGTTCAATTGCGTCAAAGAGATGACCCTTCCAGAGGTTGCTGAAGCGTTCCACAAGCGAGGCTACAACGTCTTTCTATACGATGCTCGCAGCGTTGGAGCAAGTGGTGGATCGCCACGTAATCTCCTCGACCCTCTTCAAATGGCTGAAGATCTATCTGGTCGGTGCTGCGGCGCAAACGCTCCTAGGAGAACAAGTCCAGAGCTGACCGATCATACAGACATTTACACCTTTGTCTCAGAGCTGAAAAGCGTCGATGCGCGTCGCATAGTGCTCTGGGGCATGTCATTCGGTGGAGTAGTGAGCGCCTGCTCTGCTGCTGTTGACCGCCGTCCCAAAGCAGTCGTCATGGTTTGCCCTTTGTTCAGTTATGTGCAGCCACATAAAGCAGACAAGGCCTATGCGCTCCTCGTGAAAGATCGTGTGTCGCAGCTGAGGAAAAATGAGCCCCTCTCAATAGCCCCATTCACGCCCCAGGGAGACAATCCAATCGGCATGGGAGGCGCTGGAGGCCCTGGTGGCATCGAGGCGTACAATCTGATGAAGGCCGCATCCGAATTAGGTCATCCTGACTTTCGTGACCGCCTCACGCTCCAAACCTACCAAAAGCTGGCCATGTTCCGTCCAATGGAATATATGGACATGATTAAAGCACCGCTAATGATGATAATTCCTGAACTAGATGACATATCACCCATATCGGAACAAAGGGAGGCTCTGTCGAGGGTGCAAAGCCCTAAGCGGGAGTATTTCGCAAAGGGCAAAGGCCACTTGAACATTGCCACTGGGGACGGATCAACCGAAATGGTAGCGGCGACTCTTGACTTCCTCGAGGCGGCTCTCGGAGGCACGCTGGAGTGAATGAATGAATAACTTTTTGCATGCTCAGTCAACAACATCCATTGGCGGATTGTCTTGCTTAGAATTGCTTAATGTGACCAACGTAATTAGTGTTCATAGAGCAGAAACATGATCTTTAGACGTTATCAGAACAAAAACCATTCTCGTAGAACGTATAAAATTTGGATAAAATTCAGACCCTATTAACTGCATCGTCATATGTGAGTTTGGCCGGCAACGTGGTCGCACTACTATGTCATACAAACTGATAATCTGGTGAATCGACGGTCGGACCGACAGTTAACACTGCATCGTTTCGACTTAGAAGCCATCAAACATGTCCGGAACATTAAGAGAGCAATGTACTGTTAAAGTAGATAGCGAGAATGCGAATGGTTCATCGACGATAAATTGTAAGTAGTGTTCTGGTTCTAACTTCTGTCTACTGATTTTAATGTAATACACTCCCGCTGTCATGTGATCATCACGTGAAATGCTAGCATATGTGTCCCCCTCAGCTAGTCCTTTCAGGCGTCCGCACGATAAGCTCTTTACGCCGTCCTCGACTTGACGAGGATGCGCAAGTTTTGCTTGGAATGCGCGACGACACGATCATCCCACTCCATGCCCTCACGGCTTCCAGGGGCCAACGTCATGTCGAAACTGGTGAACAAGTTGGCGAGAACCAAGTACATCTCCGCGTACGCAAGGCTATTACTGATGTCAGCTTCCCAGAAAGCCCCATCTGGTACAAGGGGAATCACTCACGTCTTGCCGATGCAGTCAGTTCGACCTTTCGAGAATGCAAGCACCCAATGGTCAAGGTCCTTGCCTGACTCGGCAAACCAGCGCTCGGGCCTGAACTCGTACGGGCTCGGGAAAACTTCTGGGTCGAAGGAGATGTGCAACTGACTCAGGCCGACAACACAGCCTTCAGGAATGGTCTTATTTACAGCAGGTACGTAGAGACCTCCCTTGGGCACGACGCGAGGCAACCGGCCCGGAATCAGTGGCATGTATCTCAGGCTTTCCTTAATGAAGCCAGTCTGCATGGCAACGGATTAGCGCTTTTCTCGAATCGACATGGGCACCAAGACACTCACCAAATAGGGCAATGCCTCCAGCTTGCGCAGCGGTAGTCTTCCATTTTGGCGCTCGACGGAAGCAAGCTCCTCGAGGAGAGGCTTCTGTACGTGAGGAAAACGGGAGAAGAAGTAGGTTGCATAGCAAAGCATGATCGCACTCGGCTCAGTGCCTGCGTTGAGGATACCGGTGCCCTCATCTGCAAGCTCTCGGAAATGGAGCGGCCTAACCTTTCGGCCCTTTTCTTCACGTCTAGCGTTTTCGCTGAGCATGCGGTCGAAGATGGTCTCTTCGTACGCCTTCTTTTGCAGAGCCTTGTCGAGATCGAACGTCTTAATGGCAGCCTGCGCAGCACGTTCGACAAACTGGCGTTCTTGTGATTAGCCACAATCTAAAGTTCAAACGTAGAGTGACTTACCCAGATCACATCGACAAAAGTGCCACTGAGGTACGCTAACATCCACCGCGGCGTAGCAACCAGAATGTAGCGGATGAAGGAAAAGTGGACTGCCATCCAGATACCCTTGGTGAAAGATTGCATCTCTGCCGACCGTTCGATGAAGTTGGGGGCCGCAATGAGGTCGAGATTCTTCCCGAGGAAATGGCTGGAGATTATATCGGCCTGTTATGATTGAGCTCATGTTCTTTTAGGTTCTCGAATGTGTGCTGACTCACTGTGTAGCAATATAACAGCTCTGCGATGGGGACTTGTTCGCCTTTGCGTTCGTATTCCTTAATCTTTGAGAAGACCTTGTCATATTCATCATACAATGTGTCCTCCATGTTGCTGATGCAAAGCTTAGAGAAGCATGGATTCAGGGTCTTTCTCTTCTCTTTGTGCTGGTCAATTGATATGGTAAACGCCATGCCCTGAGACACGCCAAGAGCATAAGAGCCCGGGTCTTTTGTGAAAGCCGGGTTCTTATAGACACTAGCTGGTGCGTTAGTATCTGTTCGAATTTCTCAACGGCTTCCCAGGCTTGCATACGCGTGATACATAGAAGAGTCTTTGATATGGACCTCATTTGGGTTGATTCGAACGACCGGGCCTGAACAAGGTTAGTCTGTCAGCCGGTGCTCTACCGCGTACGGGACGGGGCAGATCGACCGTATTTCTCATGATACTTATCAATTTCCGGCATGAATTGCCCATTCAGAATTGCCTCGTAGTAGCATTGCGGTAGATTGCTGATGCGGCACAAGAACGGGCCCGGGAAATGCGCCAGTGGATGGAGAGTGAGGTTGTAGATGAGGGTAAAAGCCCAATACGTAGCATAGGCGGCGACCAGCAGCCATGCCAATGCTTGTGGATTCTCTCGAATTTGTTGCACGTAGGTTGCAACATCGCCTTGGCTCCAGGCATGCTGGACCATCGTGGTCAGGTTCGCATAGTAAGAGGCCATTGTGGATGGGACTCGCAAACTGAGGGAAACCTGAAGCACCGCGGCTCTGATGCACTCGAGTATTATACCGAGTGCTATACAGAGTATTATACATAGTATGATACAGCGTATTATCCAAAAATTTTGCTTATCCATTCTTGAGCTGCATGCTTACCGTTTGCCGTCAGCCGGCGGTAATCCGGCTGTTCTCAATTGCCTCGCCCTTACGCGAACCATGACACCCGACCATCAGAGTCAGCGCTCGTCGAAACACAGCCCATTGACTATACCGCTCGTGTTCTGCATTGCGCTAAATGCACTTGAGCTATTAATATCTTGGGTGTTTGACATATATTAGTCGTCCTCGCGCCGTCGCGTGCCCACTGTCCACCCCACCGTGCTCTGCACCTCATCATGGACTCCATCCTCAACTGGTCAGCGCCCAACCTGGAGCCAGCCTTCCAGCGGTTGTGGACAGATGCTGGGTCCAACATTGCGACCTTAGCCGACCCCGAGCAAAGCTGGCAGCGCAAAGTCCTCTTCGCGCTGGTTGCCATTTTCATCGTCCACACCATTTGCACGAGCATCTATCGGCGTATGACTTGACAGAGTCTGTGATACTTGCCCACGAAAAGCTAACCAGTTGGCCAACAGTCTATTTCTCACCCCTAGCATTGGCCAAAATTCCAGGACCCAAGCTAGCTGGTACCTTTTCTCGCCCGTCCATCAAATGCAAGAATCTAATCACCGCTCATAGCCTTGACGTTCCTATACGAGTCTTACTTTGAAATCGTCAAAGGAGGGCAGTATTACAACCACGTTGCAAAATTACACGAACAGTACGGTATGCTCGTCCTCGGTTCTTCCACCTGCAGACAATGGGACTAACGCGTCAGGTCGAAAGGACCTCTCATCCGTGTCAGCCCGCATGAAGTCCACTGGAACGACCCCGAGTTCATCGACCAGGCCTATCCGACCACTTTAAGGAAGACGGATAAGCCTGTATGGGTCGCTCAAAGAACGGGCAGTATGTCTTGACCATATCTGCCTGCCGGGGACGTCACTGACCTACGCTTATTTCCCAGCCCCTTACTCTATCGTGTCCACCCCAAGCCATGACCTGCACCGTCGCCGGCGCAATGCTCTCAACTCCTTTTTCTCTGTCGCTAGTGTTCGCCGCCTCGAGCCCATCCTGAAGACTTACATGCAGAAGATGATGACGCGCCTGGAGACGTCTGGCAAAGCTGAAAAAGTCGTTGAACTCCACCGCGTGTTCAAGGCTTGTGCAAGCGATATCATCACTCTCTATGCTTTTGGCGACAACATGGGCTATATGGACTCTCCTGACTATGGCAAAGACTTCCAAGAGTCCACCGAGTGGTTCTTCTACCTTACGCACATCTTTGGCCTGGTCCCGTGGCTCGTGCAATATGCCCAAAATGCGCCCGTCTGGCTCGTGCGGCTCTGTTTCCCCGTCTTGACTGCACTGCGCGAGCGGCAAGACGTAAGTGACCTCGCCCGTGCTCCCGCGTACTGCCCTCACAGACTGACATGCCTCTGCAGTGGTGGATTAACAAGGTCCGCGAAATCCGAGCCTCCAAAAACCCAGAGCGAGTCAAGAGCACCGTGTTCGAAGGCATCCTGAACAGCTCCCTGCCGGCGGAGGAGAAGACCGACATTCGATTAGCCAGCGAAGCCCAGCTGATTGTCTTTGCGGGCGAGGGAACCACTGGTCAGTCACATCACCCCAAGTCCGTCGTCCACAACTAACTTAACATGAATAGCCCACGCGCTGATGTGCGCCGTGTTCCATCTGCTCGCGAACCCGGAAGAGCTCGCCAAACTGAAGAAAGAGCTCAGCGAGGCCATACCGGATCCGACCAACATCTCCGTTGCGCAAGTCGACAGCCTGCCGTATCTGGGCGCGATCATTTCCGAGAGCGTGCGTTTGCACCCCGCGTGATGAACCGCCAAGTGCGAATGAACCCCGACGTCCCGATCGTGTACGACAACCCGGTCGACGGCAAGCAATACATCATCCCGCCGAACACCATCTACAGCATGTCGCCGCTGGAAACGCACATGAATCCGAAGGCCTTTGGTGCTGATCCGTACGCGTTCCGTCCACAGCGCTGGATCGAACAGCCCAAGCTCTCCAAGTACTTCCTTGGCTTCTCCCGCGGCACGCGAGGCTGTGTTGGGTAAGTTGATTCCCGGCTTCTGTTTTCCTTTTTTCCCCCCGGACGAGTTACTAACCGGCTGGCTTTGTAGCATGACGCTTGCTCGTCGCGAAATGGCGATGACGTTGGCGACGCTCTTCACGAAATACGACCTCTATCGCGGCCAGTCGGGGCCCACGCTGGAACTCTACGACACGTACCGATCGAGGGACATTGATGTGAATGCAGACTACATTATCCCGATCCCCGCCAAGGGCAGCAAGGGTCTGCAGGTCAAAATTCGCAACTAAAGGATCGGTAACCCTACGAGTAAACAATTGCTTCTGTGTGGTTTATATGTCCAACTTGAACTATAGATGACAGTCATGATAGTACAACACAACGCTGCAGTTGCAAAATTGAACAAACCTTCCATTCATAAATCAATAGAATCGAGATCTCTATGAATATATTTTTAGTTTCTCTAGATATCATTGGGAGCTCCTTACATGTATGCCAGATTCGGCTAAGCCATTCGAAGTAAGGGCTAACTTTGTACAACCCCAATCATTTTCAAGAGGCCAACCCATCCCTATCTAGCGCTGGACGTCTTCCTTCTAGCAATATCTCTCTTTCTCTTCCCTACCAAAATGGCTGGACCCCCTGTTGAATCCAACCTCTCCAGAAATCCTCAGTACTCATTGATTGCCGTGGGCACAACTAGTCCAGTTTATGCAATCAATAGCGATTCCGTCATAAAACGCCGCCCCAGGCCTACAGACAATTTTGCTTATCAAGCATACAACATTGAAGTCCGCGCTTACCAACGGTTAGGCAATCATCCTCGAATCGCGAATCTCCGGGAAGTTACCGAGGATGGAATAGTCCTCGAGCGAGGTGAATGTCTACGCCAGAAGATCCAGGAGTCGCAGACGGCAATACAGACAAGGCTCCGTTGGGCCCAAGAGGCTGCCGAGGGTTTGCGCTACATACACACTAAGAACATAATCCATGCGGATGTGGGCTGTCATAATTTAGTTTTAGACCAGGCGGGCCGTATAAAGTTTATTGACTTTTCTGGCTCTGGGATCGACAGCGAAGTAGCAATGGTATGCTATGAATGGTGTAGTTATCGGCCTGGATCTGATCCTGATATCAAAACTGATATCTTTGCCTTTGGTTCCACGCTGTTTGAAATAGAGACTGGCAAGAAGCCTTACCACGAATTGGAAAAGACTCTTAGCGCTGGGAGATTAATAAAAAGGGCAGAGCATCTTTTTACTATGGGGGAATACCCGAGTGTGGATACGCTTGTGCTTGGTGGCGTTATTTTACGTTGTTGGAAGGGGGATTACTACTCAATGGATGAGGTTGTTCGAGATATAAACGCTTGCTGCCAGTGTATGCATAACGCATCTTTAGTATGGGAAGAATGAAGACTATTTATCTTACTGAAAGATCAGATCCTATGTCATCTATCGCTGCTGTAACCTGCCTAGTAGATATCTGATATAATATCATACCTTTCAGGGATGCCACGGCTATAGCAGGAGCAGAACCCTAATATACTCTTCTTCAAAAGTCTCGACGACGAGTACTCAGCCCAGAAGCTATGACCAACCCAGGACATAGTTAATTAGTTACGATTCCGCCCAGAAATAGTTTGGACTAATGTGCTCAATAAAAGCCATTCTATTCATGTCCCATCGCACTGCAATATCGCGTCGTTACATAGGACGTATTCTTCAGGTCAAGTCTACATCCTTAGGCAGGAATTCTACATCCCAACAAGGCACGGTTTCACCGTTTGTCGCCTTTGGATCTGTGCGTGCTTTAAGTTTCTATTAGATTATATCGACATGCCATGGTGAAATAACCTGAATCGTAAAATCATAAATCTTTTGCCAACAACCGAGCGCTGCCTTACTTATAACCTAGGAGATCTATATCATAGATATCACAATACAAAACGCCACACTTCATGCTCCACTCCACTATTTACCACCAGAGAGGGAGTAAAAAAGCCCTCCTCTATTTGAGCAAGACAGACATAAGAACATTCAACACACCCCTACCTAGGGCCTACACAACCGACCATCAGGCTGCGCAACCCAATTCACATCGCTCCCAACGGCAGTGTTAGCCCAGAAGAGGCCCTCAGGGTCATATGCACGCTTAATGGCGAGCAACCGGTCGTAGTTTGCACCAAAGTAGTCCTCCTTCCAAAAAGCATCGTTGAACGTGGCCTCGTTACCATATGCACCGCCGCCGGGCGTCAGATCGCGGAACAAAGTCTGCCAATTGTTGACGCGGGTCTGGTCAGCACTCAGGTCAGCCCAGGACTGGCCGTTGGCAACGTATCGCCCGAAGTTGGCCAGGAAGAGCGTGTCGCGCCACGCCGGCAGTACGGAGTTGGTCCCGGGTGCGACGCCGGCGCGGGCATGGGACACGTTGTTGGAGACGAGGGCAAAGACACCCTGCTCGTCTGTCAGGGCGCGCATGGTGGAGACGAGCATATCGAGCTTTGCGTCGTCGTGCACCAGTGACGCGGGAATCATGCGCGCGGCCATGGTGATGTTGATGGGAGGCGATTCGGCGAAGGCGTTGAAGTGGGCCAGGAAGCTGGGGTGTACTGTCGTGGTGTTGGCTACCATCAGGATGTCCAGGCTCTGGAGCTGCGCCATGTAGGGTGCTAGCGCCGCGTTCAGACTCTCCTGCGTACCGCCGGGAAGCGTGGCGAAGTTCATGGTGAAACCTTGGCTGTTGAAGCCAGATGCTGTGGCGAGACCTGGGATCTGGTTGAGCGCGAGCAGCGCCTTCATCCATGCTCGGATCGCCTGCCAGTAGGTATCGTTGTTGGTGTTGACGAATGTGAACGCGGCTCCAGCAAAGGACTGGTCCGGCCATGCCTTGGCTGTGATGGATAGCACGACACCGTAGTTGCCGGGACCGCCGCCGCTCAGCGCCCAGTACAGGTCCGAGTGCTCGTTGTCGGGCGTGGCGGTGACGACTGTACCATCGGCGGTCACGACCTCAAACTCGAGCGTGGTGTCGGCGCCCAGGCCGTATATGCTTGAGAGGGGCCCATGACCGCCGCCCGGGAACCAGCCTCCAGCGACGCCGACGGATGGGCAAGTGCCGCCGGTGATGGTCAGGCCGTTTTTGTGCGCAGCTTCGTAAGCTTCCCCGACCTCGATGCCGGCGCCAATGCGGGCGGCTTTGCCGTGATACTTTGGACTGTAATAGTCGATGAAGGAGATATCCTTGAGGTTATGCATCCAAAGACCCAGGGAGCCCGCGCCGGTAGAGCGTCCTTGCACGTCATGGCCGGTGTTCTTGATGGTGAGGCGTATGTTGTGTTGCCGGGCAAAGTTGATGCCAGCCACGACGTCGTCGGCGCCCGTGACCCGAATGGTATACTGGGCGAGATTGCCAAGCGTGCAGGTACCGGAGCCGTTGGCACTGGCGTATGGGGCATAGGGGCTGCATGAATTGTTGAGCCAGTAGGGCGACATGACATTGACAGGGTCGGTGACACTGATGGTCTCATGGTTAGCCACGGCGCGAGTAAGACTGGGATGAACTCACTATAGCTCTGGGAAATTGTATGTGTCCTGGAGAGCTACACATGCTCCTGTATTCAAGGTGACTCCATGGCAAGCTTGGGCCAGAGGCTGGCCGCGCATGAGCCTGCCACCTACAGTGCGATTGAGCTCACTCCATGTGTCGTGGTTCGGCCAATTGCGATCGCCGGGCATGTTACGGCAAGCATTGCTGTCGCCAGCGCTGGCATCTAATCCAATATTGCCTATGGCAAACTGGGAAATGGCAGCTGCGAAAAGCGTAGTTAGGGAGAAGGCCCAGAAGGCGACCCTGTAGGGTTGAGAGAGCATGGCAAGCTACGCGTGAAGACGCAAAAGGATCGCTCAGTCAAGGGCTGTACGCAACACTGTAGGAAGGGAAGAAACAACCCCTGTCATTATTTCACTGGATTTCTGCTTATGCTGACATCTATAACGACTCTAGCAGACTAAGAGTAAGAAATTGCTTAGGTCAGAAGGATATGGGTCCTGTCATCGACGTCCTATCCCCTACTGCTTTTCTATGGTATGATTATGAATACGAGTTGTCAAGCAGAATCTCAACTTCAGGGATCTGTCGCAGCTGTCTGCATCAAACCGTTCATGATAGTGTTGACGAGCACGGAGTCGCTGAGATCTTTCTTCCAAGGATAAATGCGCCGGCTAGCGGGACGATCCACACAACACGTTCAGCCACGCAGTAGGATGGATTTAATCTATGTAACATGACAAGTGAGATAAGAAGGTGTCACTTAAAATAAGCTTGGGTACCTTCCAGCATGTCGGCTACATATGGTCAGCGTACAGGTTCGTATTTCATGCGGGTCATCATGCAGGTCAGCAATGCAGTCAGCACCCTGTCATTGCTGACTCGATCAGCTCCTTACTCTCATTATCGTGCCTTACGCGAAAGCCTGTCGCCTGTTTCTATAGCCGGCTCAATGTGCGGAGTACCTGACGCGCAGTGACATACTGATGCACTACGAGCTGTCATGGAGAGCAAGACGTTTTCAGTCAGACAGTTGGCGAGTGGGTGCCATTCCTGATACCGGCTGCATTTCAATTCTTGCTCTCGCCCAACCGACCCAGACCCGTTACGCATCGCTTTTGACATCCTCTCTACAGCGATGCTGTCCTTTGCCATGCCAGGCACGACGGCCAGTCTGCTCGTCGCGGCCATCATTGTCGCCGTATATGCTCTCTACCGCGCCGCGCTACCCAAGCCCATCCCCGGCATCCCATACGATGCCGCCTCATCGCATAGGCTGCTCGGCAATGTGCCAGACATGCTTGCGAACATCAAGAAGAGCGAGGGCACCTTTATCACCTACGTGACCGACCTCATGGACTCGCTCAACTCGCCCATCATCCAGGTCTTCATCCGGCCCTTTGGCAAGCCGCTTGTTATTCTGGCCGATTTCCGCGAGGCTCACGACCTGATGACCCGCCGGAAAGAATTTGATCGATCAGACGTCGTGGGCGACCTGTTCCTCGGCGTCGCGCCAAACCACCACATCCGCCAAAAGACGAATGACACCTTTAAGGCCCAGCGTCGTCTCATCCAGGACCTCATGACGCCCACTTTCCTGCACGACGTCGCCGCCCCTGCCATTCTGAAGAAAGTCAACTTGCTCATGGACCTTTGGCGTGTCAAAGCGCGCGCTGCTCGTGGGCATCCTTGGGTGGCCAACGCCGACCTCAACCACATGTCGCTCGATGCCATTAGCGCCTTTGCATTCGGCGCCGGCTTTCAGCACAGTGCTGTACAGCCTGATCTTGACGCAGTCATGGCGCAGGACTACAACCTCCCCGCCAGCAAGGATGAACCTATCGTTTTCGCCAAAGGCCAGAAAGACCAGCTTCTGCAGTCCATCCTGGACCTGACACATACGATTGGCGAAGTACAAGGCAACCCGTCGCCGCGACTGACATGGGCGTATGTGATGCGCAAGCCCAAGATCAAGAAAGCGGCCAAGAGCAAAGACGACTGTCTCAAGCGAGAGCTCCAGGACGCCGTCAAGCGTTTCCAAAACGGAAACGACCAGGATGTAAAACTGCGCTCTGCAGTCGACCGAATGATTCTGAACGAGAAAGATTTGGCTGAAAAGGACGGACGCTCGCCCGAGTACTTCTCAGGCGTGATGATTGACGAGGTATATTGCCCCCCTGGAGAGTCCAGCGAGCTGGAACTGACAACCGTGCAGCTCTTTGGGTTCATCTTCGCAGGCCACGAAACGACCAGCACCGCGCTCTGCTGGGGTCTGAAATTCCTGGCCGACAATAGAGACACACAGGATAGGCTGCGTGAGGCGCTCTGGACATCGTTTGCCACGGCAAAGGAGCAAGCCCGTGAACCGACAATTGAAGAGATCACCGGCGCGCGGGTCCCCTATCTCGAGGCGACGATGGAGGAAATCTTGCGCTGTGCGGGCGCCGCTTCGTTTGTCGATCGGCAGGCCATGGTCGATACCCAGCTCCTCGGCTATGGCATTCCCAAGGGCACCAGCGTCACCACTCTGGTGACCGGCGCCTCCATGATGCGTCCTGCCTTTCAGGTGGATGAGGCCCGGCGCTCAGCGTCTAGTCAGTCGGCCAAGAAAAACGGGCACGACCGGGCATGGGATCCCAGCGACATATCAAGCTTCAAGCCCGAGCGCTGGCTCGCGACAAGTGAAAAGGGCACGACGTTCGATGCGACGGCGGGACCCCAGCTCGCCTTCGGACTGGGCACGCGCGGATGCTATGGGAAGAGACTGGCGTACGTGGAGATTAAGATTTTCCTGACCGTGATGATATGGAACTTTGAGCTCTTGAAGTGTCCTCCGGCGCTTTCGGGGTACAAATCAAACCTATACATGACGCATGAGCCACGAAGCTGCTACGTGCGTCTGCGGGAGGTTGGCCCAGTGGATGCTTAGAAGTTGCTGCGTGTGATCATGAATGTAATGTTTTCGACATTAGCTGGCTAGAGACTGTGCTTCTTCCTCGTTTAGAAAGAATCGTTATGTTTGCAGCCAGACATGGACTTACAGGGTTGACTACCGCTCTGTACAAGCTTTGGAACAATTCGCGGGTCAATATCTACCTTTCTGAAGAAACGGGTTTGTAAAACTAGCCCTGACTCGATAGGCAGCTCTCACTATTTAACTATCAGATTTCCAACGCACCATGAAGGTTAGCCATATTATGTCTCCAGCGCCTGGCCCTTGTAATTTTCTATAAACTTAAACGTTTTCAATTCATACTACATGGCCTCTCTGTGATCGCTCATCCCCCAAGAATCATAAGGTTCTATAGTAAACTGGGGGGCAAATAAATTACCTATATTTAACTGCTTTATCTCATAAATTTCAAAACATTTAGGGGCAAACCGTATCTATCTTACACGTAGAAGTGGTTAACAAAACTCCACGCTAATAGTTCTGTCTTAAAAGCTTCCAAAGTCATTCAATTCAAGATCAATCTGCTCAGAAATGTATCATAGGCTATCCCTCGCCTTGTTCTGTCTGTGTCTCTATACTATATCGCAAATTAGCTTAATAAATGCTGTGTATTAAATAACATATACGGCGTTGCTGCCATGTTCAACATCAAGCACTACAGACTTGATTTACCCCCTTCCACAGATCGAGCATACTGCCGAGTCTGCTCATCACACCAATCCCAGAACTCAGCAGCAAGGCCGCTGCCACCCTCATCCTTGTCCTTCAAGCTCTCCAGGCAGTCTGCACGGGGGTCCGGGTGCCAGCGGCCCCAGGGAATCACAAACCGGCCGCCATCTTCCACCTTGACCGCAGGGCTAAGCCCGGCCCACAGGTACGTGTATGCGCCCTTCTCGGGGCCGTGCAGGAAAGGCGACAACAACGTGCGCACCATGAACGGGACCCCGTCCCATCCCTTCGTCCTCAGATTGCCGGGGTTGACGGCCACGCTTGTGATGCCAGCGCGCGCAGCGCGCTTATGCAGCTCCGAGGCCAGAAACCAGTTACCCGCTTTGGAGGCGCTGTAGTTGTGCGCCTTGTCCTGGTTGTGCTTGCCAGGAGCTTGTTCGGCGAGCTGCAGACCGCCAGGCGGGCCTGCCATGTCGACGATACTCGATGTGGCCCAGACGACGCGGACGGCGCCGGGCGATGCGCTCTCCGCCGTCTTGACCAGAATGGGCGTCAGCAGCTTCGTGAATAGATATGGTCCCAGGCAGTTGGTTCCCATGTGCGCCTCGTAGCCTTGAGCAGATGTGCTGCCCGCCGGCACATGGGCTATGCCGGCATTGTTCCAGAGGACATCGAGCCGCGACTCCTGCTGCAGGAATGTCGAGACGGCCTTTGTGATGGTGGTCAGATCGCCCAGGTTGACGTGCAGGCTCTTCAGCACACCGGGCGTCTCGGTTGGCTGGGCGGTAATGTTCTCGATCTCCGCTGCGATCTTGCTGGGTGAACGTCCGGCCATGTAGACCGTGGCGCCGGCGCCGTACAGCATCTTGACCAGCTCCAGACCGATTCCTGCATTTCCACCCGTCACGATGAAGACCTTACCGGCCTGGGAATCGAGGTTACTGTCGGTGAATTCGGCGGTGCCGGGGAGCATCTGTGCCCACGTGCCGCCCATCGCGCCGAAAATGTTTTATGTGAGGAAGCAAGAAAAAAAAAAAAAAAAAAAAAGAGATAGGGCTCGAAATCATGGCTGAGCCAATGTGCCCGCGTGGACTTATCAAGTCACTGGTAATTAACTGTGTGGGTGGGATGACAGGGAGCCGTTCGCATAAGCGTAAGATCAATAAGCATGCGCCGGGTTGACGGTTGCTTACTCGTAGATGGCTAAGCTGTCCGTCACGTAGGTCACTCGGTAGTTATGGTTATGGTAGGGGTTCAGCGTACTTATCAGGTATGTCTGTGGTTAATCACTTCAACTTTGGTGAATAAAGTAGGCTCTCCAATGTAAAAAGTTAAGTATATGTATCACTCTGGTCGGTATATCTAGAACAAAGACGACAAGGGTATACGGGACCAGGGAATATCAACAAAAGATATATCAGGACACTCACGTATATACTTCCAGAGTCGTTTAATTTTTCGTCTTTAGATATATCTTGTTAGTTACGAGTGTACTGATCTAATAAAAGGAATCATCTGTAGTGAGAATTGACGGTGGTGGTTGGTATAGTTTCAAATGGTAAATACTATGTACGGCACCTAATCTAGGGCTTAGGCGACACAAGGCATTTACCAAGAGACCAACATTACCACTACTACGTAGCGCACTGAATATTCTGCCTGCGTGCCTTACAGAATAGACATTAGACTGAGAAGGTTTCATACATTTGTCTCTTAACTCTTTGATTGTAATACTGTTATAGAGGACTAGTTCTTGTTTTTATTACCTTGAGAGGATGTTGATGTTTATTCTACCGAATGTCTGAACCAAGTGAATTGTATCTGTGATTCTTATTAGCCTCGTGTAGTTAACTCCTTGCACTGTTTCTCTGTCGAACCTGGATTACACATAATTGTCAAGCTTTTGCCAAGCATCGTGACTGATTGTCTGCTGGGATTGTTTTTGTGACTTGTGCTTCGGTTCCGTACAGGAAGAAAATGAATGACTCGAGCGAACCTTACTAAGCGGAGGGGGGTCTGCCCGATTGGGTGAACTGCTAACTGCTAATAATGCTTCTGCCTACTTTCGATGTAGAACAATTCTTCCATTAGAAAGAAAACTCTTCATCGGAAGAGAGCATAGCCACACCTGGCATCCATGGATACACTCTATTGGAGGCAAGGGACCTATCAGCGACTGCGGATGGCAATCTGACATTCCACTTAGCACTAGGATTCGACTTTTTCTCTGCTTCATTTCCCACTGACCCACTTGGCTCGCACTCGTACCGGGAACTTCTGGATCGAGTTATGTCTGGATAATTCGGACCTGACAGCCCTATTTTTTATGCTGGTTTATTTTTATCGCTTCCATTGTTGTTTCTAAAAAGAAATTGCTATTATTGTGCTAATGATGTTGGCGATATGCTCACAAGGAACCCGATCGGTGAGCGAAGACATTGCAGAGCTGACGAGAATCTGCCTAACGCGAAGACTGATAGTCAGTCACGCTGCTCCAAAGCAAGGCCATTGATCAATAGTGGTTGATCGCCATCCCAGTCAGCCACCATCGCGGAAGGGCCGGACTTAGGCCATCCTTTGACATCATGGATCGTGAAATCCATTCCTCGGTTCGGCCTCCCCAGCCCCTAACCGATCAAATCACATTCATGGTCTTCCAGTCAGAACACTCCAAACACTAGTTGCGATCGCACCAAGACCCTGGTGTGCTTGGCCAAGCTTCCGACTGCCCCCCAAGAGCACCCCTAGGAAAAGAAAGGAGTGACCACTGCCTCTCATAAAATTTGGCCAAGTCTCCGACCAACTCCTCCGCATTGCTCCAAACAAAAACGTGTCGCTTTCACGTAGAACGGTGTGCGACCATTGTATGTCAGGATGAAACCCACAGCTGCTGCAATTGCGGTCGTCGGGTTGCTGTCTGGTAGGTTGATTATCCCCCCAAATTGTTGCGGTTCGCGGTTTACGACGATCGTCGCGCTTTTAACCTATTCTGACATCACTGACGGTCCCTAGGCGTGACAGCGGCCCCAGGCCCTCACGGAGAACGGATTGAGCGAATTGATCGAACGGTGTTGGAACGTGCTTTGCCAAACGCTCCCGATGGATATGTACCGTCCAACGTCAGCTGTCCGGCGAATCGCCCGACGGTGCGTAGTGCATCGTCCGGGCTCTCGCAGAATGAGACCTCCTGGTTGAAGACCCGACGGGAGAAGACTCAGTCGGCCATGAAGGATTTCTTCAACCATGTCACAATTAAGGACTTTGATGCGGTCCAGTATCTCGACAGCCACTCGAGTAACACGTCCAATCTGCCCAATATTGGTATTGCCGTGTCGGGTGGAGGTTATCGTGCCCTGATGAACGGTGCCGGAGCGATCAAAGCCTTTGATAGCCGAACCGAAAACTCGACGGCCACGGGACAGCTGGGTGGTCTGCTCCAGTCGGCGACGTATCTGGCGGGTCTGAGTGGTGGTGGATGGCTGGTGGGGTCGATCTATGTCAACAACTTCACCACCATTTCGGCCCTGCAGACCCACGAGAAAGGGGCGGTTTGGCAGTTTCAAAACTCGATTTTTGAGGGCCCGGACGGCGATAGCATCCAGATTCTGGATACGGCGACGTACTACAAGCACGTGTACGATACGGTGCAAGACAAGAAGGATGCGGGATACGAAACCACTATCACTGATTATTGGTACGTCATGGATGACCTCGTGGATGCGAGCAGCACTGACAGGCAATCGTTAGGGGTCGCGCGCTCTCATATCAATTAATCAACGCCACCGATGGCGGCCCGAGCTATACGTGGTCGTCCATCGCTTTAACCGATGCCTTTAAGCAAGCAGAGATGCCGATGCCTCTCCTTGTTGCGGACGGTCGGTATCCCAATGAGCTCGTGGTTAGCAGCAACGCTACTGTCTATGAGTTTAACCCGTGGGAGTTTGGTACTTTTGATCCCACGGTTCACGGGTTTGTGCCGCTGGAGTACCTGGGCTCCAAATTCGACGGTGGTTCGATCCCCCAGAATGAGACCTGTGTCCGCGGTTTCGATAATGCCGGCTTTGTCATGGGCACTTCATCCAGTTTGTTCAACCAGTTCTTCCTGCAGGTGAATTCCACCGCGCTTCCTGATTTCCTGAAGACGGCATTCTCGGACATCTTGGGAAAGATTGGTGAAGACGACGAGGACATTGCGGTCTATGCCCCCAATCCGTTCTACAACTGGGCCAACGAGAGCTCCCCGGCAGCCCATCAACAGGAACTCGACATGGTGGACGGCGGCGAGGATCTGCAGAATATTCCTCTGCATCCTCTGATTCAGCACGAGCGTCACGTCGATGTCATTTTTGCGGTGGACTCCTCCGCCGATACGACTTATTCGTGGCCCAACGGCACGGCTCTCGTCGCCACGTACGAGCGCAGCCTGAACTCCACCGGCATCGCCAAGGGAACCTCATTCCCCGCGATCCCGGACCAAAACACCTTTGTCAACAACGGCTTGAACACGCGGCCAACGTTCTTCGGATGCAACAGCTCGAATACCACCGGCCCTGCGCCGTTGGTGGTCTACCTCCCGAACTACCCGTACGTGGCTTACTCGAACTGGTCGACCTTCCAGCCGAGCTATGAAATCTCCGAACGAGACGAGACCATTCTCAACGGATACGATGTGGTGACGATGGGTAACGGCACCCGCGATGGTAACTGGACGACCTGCGTCGGCTGTGCCATTCTAAGCCGGTCGTTCGAACGCACGAACACCCAGGTTCCGGAGGTCTGCAAGCAGTGCTTCCAGAAGTACTGCTGGGATGGCACTCTGAACAACACCAACCCGGCCGACTACGAGCCCGTCACATTGTTGGACAGTGGTGGCTCTGTTCTATCTCCAGCTGTTATCTCGACTGTGATCGCGGCTAGTGCTGCGCTTTTCACCATGCTGTGAGAACCGTAGCGATTCTATTGAACGTGGATTTCTTTTTTTTCCTTTTCCTTTCGAAGGAAATCCTTTATATATATTGCGATATATCCCGACATTTATTTGCTTTCTTCAATTCCTTCCTCTACTATCTTTCTCCTGTGACTTCTGGCTTGATTGTATGTAAGTTCCTGTACATCTCGCAGTTCCTGGCACAGTCCCTTTTAAATATATTTTTTGGATTACCTAGTTGTGATTTTTTAGCTTCAAAGCTGTATGTAATAAGCACGTGCGATCCGCTCAAGTAATGACAATATTAAACTAATAATTCCTCTATCCTCCATCCGAACCCCAGTCAGAACACTTTAATCAAATTAAACTATCATAATAATCGCAGCGCCACCCAGTTAAATCATCCACAGAGACACAATGATGCAAAGAGAACAACCCTCACGTGCTCCTGTGGGTCCACCCGGTTGCCAGAGAAACCGACGCCATCGCCCAAACAAGCAACCCATGACAAACGCCCACATTAGACTAACCTAACTAACGATCGGCGTCAACCCACCACCGTCAGCCAACGAACAACACACACACCTCCAACTCCAACTCCCCTGCATATACCTCGAAGGTGTTTCTAGTTCAACAACAACTGTGTGGCCGATAGCAAGCACACAATGAGTATTGCGGTGTGTTATTAATTGTTTGTTTTTTTTTGTTTTGTTTTTCCCCCGCCGAAACAAAACACACATTCACGACTTGTGTTGTTCTCCGACGACGGATACATACAGCTGCACAATGGCTCGAGCTGCGGTTATTCCGGCGGCGGCGGCGTCGCCGCAGCGCGCGACGCGTACGGCCAAGCGAACTACTACTACTGCTGCTGCTAGCAGGGCTGCGGCGAAGACGACGAAGGCGAAGGCGCCCTCTTCTGCTACGGAGGGGAGGAAGCGGACTGCCCGGACGAATCTGTCGTCTTTGAGTAAAGCAGCTGAGGATGATTCGGATGAGGATACTGACGATGAACTGGGAGTCATGAATACGACGAAATCCGCGACAACGAAAGCCAGAGGCAGGCCCGCTGGATCGACTACTGCTGCTACGGGTCGTGGTCGGAAGCCTACTACCACTGCGTCTGTTAGGTCAGGGACTGTGGGTGAGAATGAGGATGGTGAAGCACATGCAGATGGACAGAAGAAGCGGGCCGGAAGACCGAGGACGAAACCGGCGACTGAGACGGAATCTGCGACTGCTGCTCCCAAGCAGAGAGGTAGACCGAAAGGGTCGACGAACGCGAAGTCAACCGCTGCGGCTGCTGATGCTCATAAGAAGGCCCGCGTCCTGGCTGCTGAGGATGCAGTATCTCACCAACAAGGACCGAAGGAGGTGACGATAACGACTAATTCTACGCTCATGAGATCGAATCTCTTGCGAGGCCCGGCGAAGAAGAAGACGGTGACCTTTAAGGATGTCTCAGACTCGGACGACTTCAGCGAACCATCACCCCCACCGCCGGCAGGCAGAAGGCGGCCAGCTGGCCTTGCGGCGAAGCCTGCCCGAAAGGGTACTCCGGCTAAAGGTCGCAAGCCTGCGGCGACCAAAAAGGGTGCCTCCAAGCCTCTTTCTCCGAAGAAGGCGACTCAAGTCGCGAAGGGGATTTCATCCTACGCCAGCTCTGATGGTGAGGATGATGAATTAAGCATGACCAAAGACCAGAATAAGCTACACAGCGACTCCCCCAACAAACACGGACCAGAACAAACCGGACTTAGCTCCCCAGTGAAGCGAATCAACTTCACCTCCACGAAAAGCCCCAAAACTGTCGATGAGAACGGACAGCCTACTCTGCAACCACCGAAGTCGATCGATTTCAGCGACGCAGTTTTCATGTCTAGCCCTGCTCGCCGACCTCCCCCTTCTCCATTTAGCTACAGCTTCCGAGAGACGCCACGGCGCGGTCTGGCTTTGCCCGAGGATGCGAAGCCTACTTCTCAACCTAATTTTAGCCCAACAGAACACTCGCCACTGAAATCGTCACCTAGGAAAGCGAACTTGGACACACCGAGACGTGGTAATCTCGGCTTTGATGATTTGAGGCCGCTTTCCCAGCCGAATTTCACGCCTGGACAGAACTCCCCGCTGAAGTCTTCGCCTAAGAAGGGGCTTTTTGGAGCCTCATTTTTGTCACAGCCGTCCCTGCAGGAATCGGCAACACCTTTGAAACGGAGTCTGCTCCAGAGTCCTGCGAAGAAGGTTGCCTCTCCGTTCAAAAGTTCTTTGCTATTCTCGGGATCCTTAATGACTGAGCATGTGGAGGCTACTTCCTACCGGGGAAAAGAGTTGGAGGCGGCCTCTTCCCCAAAGGCTCCTGAAACTTCTTATCAAAGGTATGACTCGGAAGAGACTGTGGAAATGCCGGAAGAGCTTGAGCCCATTACCGAAACCCCGGCCAGCCAACATGATGCCGAGACACCTGAACCTGAAGCCGAACCTGAATCTATCCCGGATTTCCACAATGTATCGTATACTCCTCAGTCTGAGATGGAGCATGAGAGTCACGAACAGCCCTTAGAACAGACAGACGAAGCTCACGAAGATGCGGTGGAAGATTTGGATATCAACTATGAAGACACAGCAAGTGAGCACGAAGAAGACATGGAAGATATCAACCACGGCCTAGAAGAGCCCCAGGGCCCTGCTGACATGGATCGTGAAAGCACCGTGGAGAGCGATGGAGTCGATGGTATCTACGAACTCTTTGAAGGCCAAAACGAGATTGTCGAAAATATCCTCCTGGAGGATGATCTCGAGCAGGACAACTTTGAAGAGCGCCTCGAAGCGTATGTGCCAGAGATCCCTGAGGATTACACGGTATGTTTTGAGGCCGTAGAGCAGGATGCCTATGAGTCTGCTCAATATGCCCAGAGCATAGTCGATACCGAGATCGAGGTTGAGCACGATGCTGCCGACGATGGAATCTCGGTCGCACCGGCTGCGGAAGACATCGCCCTTGGAAATCAACAGGGTGATCAGACCGAGGAAGAGAACTACGAATCTGAGGATGAGTTACAGGACGAAGAGCCCCGGGAACCGGTAGAGTTCTCAAGTCGCGAAAGTATGCTTCAGAGGCTTGAGGATGTCTTCACTGAAGATCCTGCCGGCACGTCTGAGATGCCTGGTGATGGAGAAACAGAACGTCATGCTGAGACTTCGGAAGTTGGGGGTCATGAAAGCGTCGACCCTAGCTTGGAGTATGACGAAGAAGAGGTCAATATGCTCGATGATTACGACTTCGACGAGGAAGAGCCTACGCTTGTCGCGGTTGGTACTCCTGGGCGAACGTTGAGACAAACGCCTCAGCGTACACCACGACGGACCCCACGGCGTACATCTAGAAGAATATCTCAACGGACCCCTAGACCAACGTCCTCGCACACTCCAAGACAAACGCCTGCGCAGGCGCTGAGAGAAACCTCCGAACAGACGCCTGAACAGCCTCAACAGATGCCTAGCGAAACACCAGAGCCAACCCCTCAACCACGCGCACTCACCCCGGAGGTATATGCTCCTTACGAAATCGAAGAACCCCCGACTCCCCAGGTTCCAAACTATTTCTACTTTGTTCCACAGTATTTCGCCTCGTTCGCGCCTCCCCGTTTCCCCGATGAGTACCGCGACACTGCAGTGGAAACCACAAGCTTTGATGCCGCTGATAATACAACTGCGAAGGATCTTCCCATCCCAGACGTCCAGCCCTCTCCTCAGCCACAACGTCATACTCCTGGGCCGGAGAAGGAAAAGCGTCAACGTCCTCGGTTCACGTTGTTGGCCGAGCAACTCAGCGAATGGAAAGCGAGCAGCCCTGAGAAGACTGAGCAGAGGCGTTCTGGACGTCGGGGCATCTTCTCCCTTTCGGGCGGCCTGAACCGCCCTAGCGATGTCAATAATGCCCAAGAAGATGTGTCTTACCCCGACCTCTCCGCTAAGTCACCGTCCCCAGTAGTTGAGGAACTCCAGCCACACGAAGAACCTGCAACCACCGTGGACGAAGATGACCAGGAGGAGCCAGAAATGGGTCGCTGTGCTTTTGAGGATCTGGAGAAGTCTCCTGGACTACCTATGTTCGAGATATTTAGCGATGAGGATCCTGTGGAAAGTAAGCAGACTGATGCTCGTGAGGATACACAAGTTTCCATTGTTTACGAGAGTCCAGTGCGCCCAGCTGCCTCGATTCAAGAAACACTGGATGACGAAAAAGAAAATTACGAAGTTCAGCTTCCCGCACCGGCCACGCCCGTGCGCGGCAAGACCATCCCCTTGCAGACATTCCACACCGTGTCCAAGGTCCCCCTGAAGCCGGAAGGGGAAGTATCCCCTTTGAAGGTGTCCCGTAAGCGAGGCCGCTCTCTTTCTATCACATCACCGACTCGCTCCTCCCCTCGACTTCGCAAATCGATCCTCGCCCTCCAAGAGGATGTCGATTCCCTTCCCCCTCGCAAGGCACCAAGATTATCCTATAGTACAATGCCACAACTACAACCGACTCGATCGAGAAGCAGCTCTAGGGCTCGGGATGCAAGGCAGGAGAGTGAACGGAAACGGGCGCCTTCTCGCTCTCCCAGCCCTGCCAAGTCCCCTCGCAGGCGCAGTAGCATTTTCCAGCCTACTCCTACCGGAGCCTTGCAAGGAGCTGTTGTGTACGTCGACGTGCATACGACCGAAGGAGAGGATGCTAGTGGCATCTTTGTGGAGCTTTTGCAGCAGATGGGTGCCCGATGTGTTAAGAACTGGTCCTGGAATCCCCGTTTGAGTGTGTCTCCCGATGAACAGACGGAGACCAAGGAAGGCAAAGTCGGTATAACTCATGTCGTCTACAAGGATGGTGGTGTGCGTACTATGGAGAAGGTCAGGCAAGCCGCAGGCCTGGTCAAGTGCGTAGGTGTCGGCTGGGTCCTGGACTGCGAAAGAGAAAACAAGTGGCTTGACGAGGCTCACTATGCCGTCGACAGTTCAATCATCCCGCGTGGAGGAGCCAAGCGCAGAAAGAGCATGGAGCCCCGCGCACTGAGCAATGTCAACGGGACCCTCGTCAAAGCCGATGCTGGCAGCAGACGGTCTGGAGTGGGCGCTGCCGATTTCACGCGAACGACCACATCCACTGCCCGCGATGCGCCTTCCACTCCCAAGAGGACTAAGAAATCCGAAGCCGGTTACCCGGGAATAGACCCGAGGTATTTCCAAACCCCCAAAACTCCCGCTTTCACCTTCAACATGGACTCCGTTGGCATGTCTCCAGCAACCCCATTCTTCCTATCTCAACGGTCGAAACTGGTCCAGCAGACCTGTCCTCCAAAGCAGCTCCGCCAGGGGCTCTTCTCCAACCCAGGCCCAAGCGAGGAGCACTCGCAGAAGCTGCGGGTGAAGCTCGAGGCAGCCAGACGGAAGAGTCTTGCTTTCAAACCCAAGGTCGCGAGCCCACTGGTGCCGTAATCGTTTGTTTGGCTGTTTTGGTGTTTCGTACGTTGGTTTACGTCTTCTGTTTCATATATCATACCCCTTAGCAGTTGGATTTTGTAATGTACAGGTGTCAATTGGAGATTTTTTGTTCAGTTTGGTCTTTGTAAGATGCCGTAGGCACACATGTCCACATCATGGGCCTTGAGTATATCCTAGGCCGTGCAATAGCCACGCCAATATTATATGCGCACAGGTATTAAACAAAGAACCCAACACAGTAAGATTGAAGAGATAAGGGGCAGGCAGGTAAGGGCGAGAACAAGAATGTTCGGTACGTCACAAGCGAGATGAAAGCCAGTGATTCCAAGAATCTCATGTCGCAGGCTTTGGCCTTTTTCCTGAACAATGTTACCGGGGTGCAATGGCTTCGGAGCTCAACCAGTATCTGCGTGGGTTTTATCGATAAGGGCTATTTTGCGGGGGTTTCTTAAATTTCATGTCCAATATTGTTTGGTTCACTATAGTGAGTAAGTATTCTTGGGTCCCACTGTACGAAACTTTGTATTTCGCTCGTCATCATATCACGCTTTCATGCTTTTTTATATTCCAAGTAGATAAAGAAAAGGTAAAAGGGAAGAAAGAAAAAAACCCGAGATATGGTATGCACATTTCCTCGTTAGATTGAATTCGTCTCTTCGTCCATCTCGCGGTAGAATCCAGCCACCAAGAACGCCAACTCTAACGCCTGCTTCTCATTCAACCGGGGGTCACAGAACGTCGTGTACCGCTCACTCAAGTTCTCCTCGGTCAAACCGCCGGCACCACCAACGCACTCCGTGACCGCCTCGCCGGTCAGTTCAAGATGCATGCCACCAAGGAACGAGCCGGCCGCCTTGTGGATTTCCAAAGCTTGGCGCAGCTCGGAGAGGATGTCGGTGAAATGGCGAGTCTTGACGCCGGAGGGCGTGGATTGCGTGTTGCCGTGCATGGGATCGCACTGCCAGACGGGCAGGTGGCCGGAGGCTTGGACGGCGGCGATGTGGCTGGGCAGATGCTGGGCGATCTTCTGCGCGCCATAGCGGGAGATCAGAGTCACCTTGCCGATCTCGCGACTGGGGTTCACGACGTCGAGGATGCGCACGAGCTCGTCTGGGGTCATGCTGGGCCCGATCTTGATGCCGATGGGGTTGGCGATGCCGCGGAAGAACTCGATGTGCGCGCCGTCGAGTTGCCGGGTGCGGTCGCC